TAATAAACGTGTGACGGGTGAGTTGACGGTTTCTATGCCCAGACAGCACAGGATAGGTATTATAAGAATATTCTCTAAATTTACTTAATAAATTGAGAATATTCCTAATATTCTTGTAACATTTAAAGAATATTCAAGTCTGTAAGTTAAATTCATGGATGATTTCAGGCACATGTATAATATATCTGCTTATCTTATTCATTTTGGTATATGTTTTAGATTGAGAATATTCCTAATATTCTTGTAACATTTAAAGAATATTCGAGTCTGTAAGTTACATTCATGGATGATTTCAGGCACATGAATAATGTATATGGGTAATTCCGTCTTAAATTGCAATTTTGAGAGGAAATATTTTTAAATTTATTTTTTATAAACAGTCATAATTTATAGTAATGTACTTAGTATTAGACCCTACTTAAATAATTACTAATGCGAGCCGTAAACTTTTCATATTTTTTTGTGTTTTTTTTTGAGGAAAAAGGAATACTAGTAATTTATGTGATTGTCACGTATGTTACTAAAAACGCAAAAATAGATTATTTAAAAAAAAATCTTAGTTTTACACTCTAAAATATAGGTAATAGATTATTTTACAGCTTATATGCTATTTTGTGTTATTTTAAAATAAAAAATATAAAAATTACATGTATAAATCAAAAGAACTGTACTCTGTAACATATGAAACACGATGGGTAACTTATATCAAAAATGTAATTTATTTTTCATATAAATAACGTATATTTAGGTACCAATGAACTAGCAACATAAGATTTTTGAAACATTTTATTAAATAATTTAAATACACCCGGACAACATTCTTGATATTCATATGAACATCATGTCGTGATTTTCATAAATTTTATTCATACTGATATTATACGGAAGTCACCGCGTGATAAATGAAAATCATACGAACGTCACGTCGTGATTTTCACAAATTTTATTCAAACGGACATCATCCGGATGTCACTGCGTGAGAAATGAAAATCATGTCGTGATTTTTTATTCCATCACTGTTTGCGATTGACCGATGGCCTAAAAAATCACGACATGATTTTTTATGCTATCGGTGTTTGGGCATAAAAAATCACGACATGATTGTTTATGCCATCGGTGCACCGACATGTTTGGATATTTATTTTTGCGCCACATTCGTACATTGAAAGAAAAAGTATGTTAACAATTGAATTACCAGTTTTTGCGGTCAAATACATTTAATATTTTCTTGGATGTAAATTAACTAATAATTTTAATCCAAAAAAATATTGAATGTATTTAACCACAAAAACTGTTGATTCAATATATATGTAGGCATATTTTTTCTCTCAATGTACGAATGTGGCGCACAATTAAATATCCAAACACCGATGGCATAAAAAATCACGACATGATTTTTTATGCCATCGGTGTTTGGTCATAAAAAATCACGACATGATTTTTTATGCCATCGGTGTTTGGATATCATTTTTGCGACACATTTGTACATTGAAAGAAAAATTATGTTAATAATTGAATCAACAGTTTACCATTCAATATTTTCTTGGATTTAAATTAACTATAAATAGTTAATTTAAATCCAAGAAAATATTGAATGTATTTAACCGCAAAAACTGTTGATTCAACATTATTTTTCTCTTAGTGTACGAACGTAGCGCAAAAATGATTATCCAAACACTGTTACTATAAAAAATCACGACATGATTTTTTGTGCCATCAGTCAATCGCAAACAGCGATGGCATAAAAAATCACGACATGATGTTCGTATGAATATCACGAATGTTGTCCGGGCATTTATAAACTGCACTTTCTAACTCGTACGAGTAACCAAAAGGCTCTTGTCTTTAGATGTTAAGGATTGGAATTTATTAACTTCTATAAGCAACGTTGCTTATAGAAGTTAATAAATTCCAATCCTTAACATCTAAAGACAAGAGCCTTTTGGTTACTTTTATTGAAGGTGAAATATTGAACAGTATGTCGGTTTTACAATACCAAATTTTGTCTTCCGGTAATGGCCAAATGTATTTATTTTCTCTAATATTTTTAAGTGCTTTAATTTCGTAGTTTTGACTATTTAAACTGCACACAACTCCGGGAAAAAAATTCTTATCATATCTAACCACAACCCACTTGTTTATCGATAGATCAATACCATTGTTTTGGAACACTTCTACGTCCAATGCTTTTTCTTGAAGTATTTGTATTTTCTCCACTTAGCGGTAACTTATGAAACAGTAACTTAAGTTAAGCTTATGTGACTTTTCTTGGCTTTTTAAATTTTGTAAACAAGCCGGCAACGTGGGATATAAATCGGATTGCATACATTTAAATAACAAGCCTATTTTAAGATTATGTTACGAACAATTTGTAAAAATAATTAAAATTGCGTGATTTACGTAATAACTTATGTGACTACTAAATAAACATACTCTTCTGATTTTAACAATAACCACAGATCTCACGTTAAGTATTTAATGTTAATTGTTATAACAAAATAACCAATAAACAAATTACAAAATATATGACACTTTGACTGGAGCCGGCACAGAACATAAGGGAGCCGGCTTCACTGCTATGTTGCCAAGTCCCAAAAATGTTACCGCAATGTAGAAAGTAACTTATGGGACCAAAAACAGGGTGACTAACTAAAGCTCAAAAAAATACATTAAATAAATCATGTTAAGGTCAAAATCTCTTTTAAAACGAAAATACTACATTGTTAATTTGTATTTTTAGTTTAAAAATACTGTTTTTTTAATAGTGTCTGTACAATTTAATTTTAAAGTATAATAAAACTGTTGGTGACAGGTAACTTATGTGACATTTTGGTCATAGAACGTAATTTTTTTAAAAATAGGAGCAAAAATTTTAAATTTTTTAGTAATGGCATTTATAACTAAAGCTCAAAAAAATACATTAAATAAATCATGTTAAGGTCAAAATCTCTTTTAAAACGAAAATACTACATTGTTAATTTGTATTTTTAGTTTAAAAATACTGTTTTTTTAATAGTGTCTGTACAATTTAATTTTAAAGTATAATAAAACTGTTGGTGACAGGTAACTTATGTGACATTTTGGTCATAGAACGTAATTTTTTTAAAAATAGGAGCAAAAATTTTAAATTTTTTAGTAATGGCATTTATGAGAAACAATTAAAGGAGTTATTAAGTCAAATTAATAACTATATAATTAAACTCATTGTTTCACAAAATTACGGTGACCACAAAATTACGATTTAAGACGGAATTACCCATATGCTTATCGTATTCAATTTGGTATATGTTTTTTGGATATTCATATAATATTCTACTAATATTCAAATGTTTTATTTTGTCTAATTAGTCTAACTGAATCAGTCCATTTTTTAAAATTTGTTTATGATTTTTCTTAAATTGATAATTTACAATGAGAAATTGATAAATAAAAAAAGGACTTATTCCAAGGTGTATAAGCCCGTGACTTGTACTGTTCTTAATTTCACCGATTCAAATTAAAAAATTTTAAAAAAATAGACAAATTGAATATTACTTAAGTGTTGTATGACTATTAAAAAGCATGTTCATTTTGGTATCTACTGGGTCCCAAAATGCACATGCGCTAAACGCGCTACCGGGCGGCTTAACATGAGATCGACCGATTCGACTCCTTGATCTATGCATCGGCCATTGTTTGTGCGTGTTTTGCAAGTGAAAATTTAATTGTTAAGATAATTAAAAGTTTGATTAAATAATTGCTTGCTGTCTGCTAAAAACACTTTTGAAAACTCCACCTTTTAAATGAATTTTATTTTATCTTATATTCCTTAAAAGAATTTATTTATATTTTTTATTCATGCTACATATATTACAACCATATCCCAAATATACCAGTAATAACCAAAAAACCATCGTTTGGGAATATTTCTAAAAATATTGGATCATATTCCAAGAATATTCTAAAAATATTCAGAAAGTTTTGCTAAAAACATGCTATGCATATTCTTAATAAAATGTTCCAGGTATATGATATTTGATTATCGCTTAAGTATTCCTGGTAGGTATATCCCGAATATGCCAAGAATATTTTTTAGGGAATGTTCCTGGTGACATATACTTAATATAAGTTATATTTGACTTTTCTAAGATTATTCCAAAATTCATGTATATATTTTGAGAATCTTTAAAGCATATTCCAGTGTTTAAAAAAGTTTATGCAGGGAATATTCTAGGAATATCTAATGTTTTTTGAGTGTAATCTGTCATTGTTCAAAATTTAATGGAATTAAATTTTTCAGGTTATAAAAAATTTGTTAACTAATTAAGTGTTTACTGATAAAAATAGCAGTTAGTGACTTAAAATAAACATTGACAAGCCAAACATTTTTAAAATTAAAAAGTAATACAAGCAGAAATTGCTAATTTTGAAAAAGAATCAACAAAGCTGTAGGATGTCAACTAGATGAAGCACTAGCTCATTAAAGACCATAAAATAAATTTTATATATTTTAATGATAAAAATATAAAATATATATATTAACTACTAAAAATCAAATTTTTTCAGAATTTAAAAATGTAATAATATTTATATGGTTCCATTTGAAAAACAAAAGTTGAAATCACTTCTGGCTTAACTGGAAGTGATATCAACTTTGAAAGGTGTTTTAAAACATTTTCATCAGACATTTATAAAGGGTGAATATCTTTGTTGGTTTAAAATTTTTAAATATTTCACTAAAAAAATTAATTAACAAAATCTTATTGATTGTTTACAAGAATAGTGGTTAAAAATACTGGTGGACAGAATTTTACTTCCAATCCAGGCTCAAGAAATCTCCTCTTTCTCCCACTAGTCGCACAATGTACAAGGTTTATGGATGACCAAAATTTAATTCTCTTGCAATTATTATGATTAATAAAATAATATGGTAGACATAAAGAAACAAAGATTTTAACCAATAGGATAACATTTTAGAAAAGCACATTATTTTTGTTGCTTAGTTTAGTTCAAGAACTTACATTTTATTTTATTTTCCATACTTAATGCATCTATTTGATGTTCCTTATTTTGAATTTGTGCTGTTAATATTGTTATATTTCTTTCAATATCTTGTCTCTTTTTATATGCACTTATTTCTAGGATTGGGTAGTTATATTCATCCTTAAATATAAATATATACAAATTAATATATTTTACTAATCTAATCATGGTTATTGCAAAATGGGCTTACCTGTTGATCGAGTGTTTTATTCTGAAGCCTTTTTATAATTATGTTATTCCTCATATTAATCACAGTATTTTTATTGATTGCATTTTGAATAACCTGCTTCCAGATGAAAAATGTAGCCGGATTACAAACACTAAAATAAAAACACTTTTATAACCAATTTTTCCCTAGTTTTATGCTTATATTTACCTGTCGAGATTCTCTGGTATATCTCCATCGTATCCCATTTCTTTAAGCCATTTAACAAGCTCAAGCTTGCTCATTTTCTTTTAGGAATTCTTACGAATTCAGTTTACAATTCTGCTTTTTTCAACTGTCGGATTTGAAATCCTAACCTCAAAGTTACCGACGCTAACAACGTTGCCAGATTGTATTTAACACAACCCACACAACATGGTATTTAACATGTTTTTTTACTCCCACCTTTAAAACCCCTATTATCGTACATGTTTCCTTGACACTAAGTGACCTTTTAAATACAAATTAACAAGTTGTGGCTTTATGGCTTTTTAGTCACTGGCACAATCCAGCCCACACAGCAGTGCTGTGACAGCACACTACGTCCATTAAAGGTCCAAACTACCCTGCTTAAAATACCCCATAGAGACCCTGTTCAAACCGATAGATATTTGTATCGGGATGTATGGTGTTTCTATAGGGTGTATCGGTTTGTATAGGACCCGTAGTTGAGATTTATGGTTGTTCTATAGGGATATCCACCATTGATTTATTTGCTATCGGTTTCAATGGGGAAAATACACATAAATGTAGAAATTAGTTTTTTCCCTATAGAACCCTATAGGTTTTAATAAAATTTTGTCAAATGTTTTATGGTTGCTCTATAGGGATATCCCTATATATCCTTCATTGAGTTATTTTCTATCGGTCTCAATAGGGAAAATGTAAAAGTTATGGTGTGCCTATAGGTAATTTCCTATACATTTTCTATCGGGCTGTATCCGGAAAAACCCATGGACAAATGCACATATAGAATCCGGTAGCGCCCGATAGATTATTTTGTATAGGTCTCTATGGGGTATTTTAAGCAGGGTAAGTACATACCTCAGACCTTGGTACATACCTCAGACCTTGGTCTGAAGTACATCCCAGATAGCACAAGTACGTTCGTAGGACGTTCGTAGGACTTCCACCCAGGACAACCCGAACGTCCTCAGGATGTCCGGGGTCTGCAAAAGTACGTTCGTAGTACGTCCACAGACTTCCGAAATAGACTGTTTCAGATGTCCTATATGACCGTCCACAGACTTCCGAAATAGGATGTCCTCAGGACGTCCGTATTTGACCCCAAGCTGTCCAATTCGGGACATATGAGGACCGAATTAGGACATAGTTTTATTATAATAGGGAAATGTAATACAGTGTTAACAAGTGTTTTGTATATATATATATATATATATACAGGGTGTCCGGGAAAAGGAGGTCAATCCGTTAACCATATATTCCTTAAGTTAAAACAATAAACCTTTCATAATACTATTTTTATTTATTTCTCCATTGAATTTCACATACCTTCATATCTCTAAATTATTTAAAAATATCAAGTGAAAACTTAAATTTTGTAGGGGTTTTTCCATATAATAAAAGTTGTTTTCACTTATATCATATATTTAAATCTTAGAAGAAAAAACAAACAAAGATTTAAATACACAGAAATTTAACTAAACAGGGAGCTAACTAAAAACAGCACACGCTGTTTTACTTAGAAGAAAAAACAACAGGAAGGAGTCTTGTCATTCTTTAGCCGTACTAAAATTGCGTCGGAAGTCGGCCATTTGCAAGCACCAAATTTTGACACATATGTGTCAAAATTTGTGATGCTATATTTGTCAAAGTTGAATGTTTTATGTGTTTTTCGGTGTTTTATGTTGTTTTTCTGCTTAAATTAACTTTTAATAAGCGTTTCATTGTTTCTAGACAGTATTTTATTTGATATATTCTCGTTTAAGTGTAAATATTTAAAGTTTAAGATATAAATATTAGTGTTTAAGGTGTAAAGACAAATTATGGTTAGTTGTGCAGCTTGTGGTTGCTCCTTGAGCACAAAAAATAAAAAATATTCAATTACATTTCATAGGTGAGTATTTTGGTTAACGTTTAATTTATTTACTTATTGTATATTTTAAAATAATTAATTGTAAATATTAAACATAAATCAATGTCAAATAACGTAACCTTAGAACATAACCATAACCTAAGAACGTCACCATCATAGAAAAAACCATAGGCGTATCATATTTTCTGATACTAACCTAATTATTATAAAAATTAAACTTCAATTGTATTTACTACGCCACTGTCAAACGGAAACAACTATCCGCCATATTGAAGCACCACTTTGGACCCAAGGTCATTTATTAAATGCTCCTTCCTGTTGTTTTTTCTTCTAAGCTGTTTTATGAACAATGCCAACATGGCGGATTTCAGACTGCCAACTTAAAGTCACTAAACTGGTTACTTCCAATACCAACTGTTTATTTGGCGGTAAATTTGAAATAAACTCTTACAATTTATTGCATTAAAAATATTATAGGACAAATTAAATAATTTAAATGTTAAAGTGGAGAAATTTCTCCAATGGTATTTTTAATTCGTATTATACATTTCTCATATAATATTATTAATTCAAATTATTAATTTGGTCAATGTGATATTTTTTATTCAACAAATTAAAAATATAATATACCTAATATATATAATATAATTAAAAATAATTTTTTAAAATTTGTAATGATATTTTTAATGCAATGAATTAATTAATTTTACTAGATATTTTTAAATAAGTTAGAGATATGGAAAATTGCAATTGCTAAAAATACTTGACAACTAAAGACACAATTCCACTTAAGTGGATAAAGGGTCTATCTATAGACATATAAGTGAAAAAAAATTGACAACTTTTTTTTAAAATCTTTTATCGTGCTTGATTAAGGAGTATTTTTAATAAAAAACAAGGTGTAATTTTTTTTCACTTAGACCCGGGTCGCGACCAGAAAACCGATGGACGTCCTGAGGCCTAGGCCTATGGACGTCCTAAGGCCTAGGCCGATAGACATCCTGAGTACGTCCATCGGTTTTTTGCCTGCGACAATAGTTGAAGATACAAATTGATATATATCACCTTTTATAAAGGCCTTTATAAAGGGTGATATATCAACTTGTATCTTCAACTATTGTCGCAGGCAAAAAACCGATGGACGTACTCAGGATGTCCATCGGCCTAGGCCTTAGGACGTCCATAGGCCTAGGCCTCAGGACGTCCATCGGTTTTCTGGTCGCGACCGTCTGTAAAGGATTTAAACCGGATGTCCTCAGGACATCTTGTGCTATCTGGGATACGTCCATGCAGGGCCGGCAGAATACATATAGCCCGAGTGGGTAGTTAGGCGTAGAAAGGGGGTCCCCCACTCAGCTTTAAATTCGAGCAATTAACATTTTGAAAAATCAATATTATAAAAATATATTGAAAAATAAGGAGCTTTAAAAGGTAACAATAGAAATTCATAAATAAAAATGCATTTTTGTAGATTAACAATTTTTATTTGTTATCTAAAATAGCAAAAACAGCCGTTCTTTTCTTATTGCGAACAATAATAGTAGTTTGATAAACGCCATTTTATACACGAATTTAATTTAGGCACGAGCGAGCTTGTGAGCGAGTGCTTAAGTTAATGAGTGCATAGAAAAGTTTATAAACGAGGTGCATACTATACTTTTTCTACGACAAATACTTATTATTATCTTAAAATGATTTAAATCAAAAATTTGTATAGAGCGCCATCTATGAAACAACAGGGGAAACTGTCAAATGTTACATTTTTACATTTTATCTCTGCATTTTATAAACACAATTACCTATACTGCCCAACTATGCAGAAAGGCAGTAACTGCTAAACAAGAAATTTGTGGGAAATTAGCATAAACTACATTTTTATAAAAAGCAGTAGGTATTTAACTGATTTATTTAACTTATAAGATAGTTTACTGCATTTTTTTGTTGAATTAATATACAAAATGTCCATAGCTTTATTACGAAGGCGTAGAAGGGCCATCCAAAATTTAAATCTTGTTTTTTACAAATTTCTGAGTTATAACTCGGAATTTTAAAATTTCGAGTTATAAGTCGAAATTTTACAGCAAAATTTCGTGTTATATGTCGGAATTTTAAAATTCCGTGTTATATCTCGGAATTTTAAAATTCCGTGTTATATCTCGGAATTTTAAAATTCCGTGTTATATCTCGGAATTTTAAAATTCCGTGTTATATCTCGGAATTTTAAAATTCCGTGTTATATCTCGGAATTTTAAAATTCCGTTTTATATCTCGGAATTTTAAAATTCTTTGTTATATCTCGGAATTTTAAAATTTCGTGTTATATCTCGGATTTTTAAAATTTCGTGTTATATCCTGTACGCACTAGGGGCAGTGTTGCCACTGTTAGTACTTTTGTATTAGATCTTAAATGGAATGGACTATAGTACTAAAATTGATTTTTTAGTACGTTATTACGCTTTAGCAAAATCAAGAGAGCTACTTTTTATAGTTGGATATATTCTCGCAACAAAATTGGTTTAAACCACAAATGTGTAGTTTAAACAGAATTAAAACCAAAATAATTTTTTAATCATTTTGACAACAATGGAAACAAATGACTGAATTCATGTCAGTGACATATTAGTAAAATTGCCCACAGATAGCAGCATCAAAAATGTGCAATTACATTGGGTGTTTTGCAACCTTCTTTATTTCTGCCACAGGCTTTTATGGGCTTTTTTATATCTCACAGCCAGCGTTGCAGACTGCTCTAGTTTTTTAGAAGTTCTCGAGCAGGACTGCCAACATAAATGCCTTTAGTTGTCTGTCAAATAGTTCATTTTTAAGATACGTTTTTTAAAATATATTCAATTAAAAGTGCACCAATATTCGTAACAAAAAACCAAATATATGAATTATTGGTACTGCCATCTGTGGCCAATTTCACCAATATAGCATTTAGTACAATCTAGAACGAAATGACGGAACCACCTAGTATAAAATAAAAAGAACGAGTGGCAACACTGACTAGTGGTCAATGGCGAAGTCGTCTATTAGGCGACAATTCAAGAATTTTAAAATTCCGAGATATAACACGGAATTTTAAAATTCCAAGATATAACACGGAATTTTAAAATTCCGAGATATAACACGGAATTTTAAAATTCCGAGATATAACACGGAATTTTAAAATTCCGAGATATATCACGGAATTTTAAAATTCCGAGATATAACACGAAATTTTAAAATTCCGAGATATAACACGGAATTTTAAAATTCCGAGATATAA